AAGAAATATGTTACCAGCACACCATAAACGCCTTCAATAAGAAGCGCCTTTTACTGATGTTCATTCAGCATGTCAAAACAGCAAAAGTGCACCTTTCGGAACTACAGAGGGCCCCTGAGGTTTTGAAAATTTAGCACTTTTGCTGTTTGGACATAATGAATGAACATCACTCAAGGTGGTACCATCCACTGGTTGCTTCAGCACCCTACAAGGGAACTACATCGGTCTGGGGATATCTATATGATCAATTGAGGACATTTCCCACAATTACTCTTCCAGGGACAGTGATCACAGGACAGGAAATGATACGTGGTCAAAGCAAACAAGAAAAATTCGACAGATGCTCTAACCCTTCCCTGTGCTATCCCAAGGAATAAAAAAAAACCTCTGGAATTCCACTCTGGAATATAATGGATCTGGTTACGGCCAGAGGAAGAAGAGGTTGAAGGGACCTGTGATGTCACTAAACTGGTATGAAGACACCTGGAAAATAAAGAGATATAAAAAAAGTGACAAAAAAGTTTAAAACAATTAATTTTTAGTCCTGAGCATTATAAATAAATATAACACTTACAAAAACCAAAGCAGTAGATACTGGCACCTGGGACTCCGATGCTGGTATCTTATGGTGCAACAAGTGTTGGTCTTCATTGAAAATGATCCTGACACAAGAGAAATGAGAATGCAAGCATGGAATTGAGTGTACACAAGACATTCTGAGGATTAGGGTTGCAGTTATAGGATGGTTTAGTATTAGGGTTACAGGGAAGGTCAGTGTTAGGGATAACTTTAGGGTTACAGGAAGAGTAAGGGTGAGGAAGGGTCTTCAGGCAAACCATCACTCTTTAGGATAGGAGCTCTTGGATGAGAACCATTAGCATCTATCCCCTAAGGCAGAAGGATAGAGGTGGTTGATTTACTAATAGAGTACAGCATGTTCACCTTGCAAGGAAATTGTCACTTAACTTAGTCAAATCTTTCTTGCAGTTGATTGGGTATTCTCTGCAAAGTGAATTTTCACCACTTTCACTGGGCTAAGTGAAAATTCCCTTGCAAATTGAACCTGCTTTACTCCTTTAGTAAATCAACCCCAACGTGTCATACAAAAACACTCTACAGTGCCTTAAATAAAGGAGTACACAGCAATATTCAAATATCCATCACTAAACTACAGGGGAGCAACAATGTATTGTGCCCAAACAATTATTTAAGATGTATTGCCTGTAGTTAATATGATCTGCTTAATGCATGGGCAATGCTCAGTACTGGTTCGGTAGATCACTGGTTTTATTGTAAATGCAACCTCCAGTGCTCCAAGTCTCTCAAATTAACTGACACATTATATAAAGCCTTGAATGATTTATGGGGCTGTAGATTGCAGTCTGACTCAAAGTTACATTCTACTGTTCTTGTAAATGTATTGCGTTAATATATTTTCTGTAACATTACCTAGAGTAATGGCAATGTGATATACATAGCAGTGTAATGGCTGCCTGTTTTTTTTTTTTTGGAGCTGGATGGAAACTTGTATTGTGTTAGAGAAGCACACACCGACTGTCTAAAATATAAAAATAGGTTTCCCACTTTCTTAGATTGTAAGAATCTCTTGGGGATAAGGGGATTCTTATGTTCAGTGGGGGATTTCCAACCTGAGTGGTCTCCAAAGCCAGAGTAAATCAATGGTGGTCCAAAGTAAGCAAATCCCATCACTTGACATGTATGCTCCTACAGTGGATGGGAACTAGACATCTAAGCTGCGGAAAAATTTGGTTTGGTTCGGATATTTCGTTATTCCGGGATTCGGATCCAAAATTTAATTCGGTTCAGGTTTCGGATTCGGACTAAATCTGAATTTTCGTTAGTTTCGGATGAGTTTACGAATATTCATTGCAAATACCACAGAAAACCAGATACAGATATTAATACTAAAGCTGAATCTCTTTGACCCGAATAGCAAATGCTGTTCCGAATTTCCGAACAGCATTTGGGAGCTCCTGAATGCCATTCGGGTCTGGGGGCCTCAGCTGTAGTAATATATGTTTATGGCTCCCAGACCTGAATGGCATTCGGGATCTCAATTTCCAAATTGCATCTGGGAGCTCCCAAATGCTATTCGAGTCTGGGATCCATAAACATATATTACTAAAGCTGAATGGCATTAGGGAGCTCCCCAATGCAATTTGGAAATTCTGATCCCGAATGCCATTCAGGTCTGGGAGCCTCAACTTTAGTATTATGTGTATAATACTGCCATAACGATGCCATGTTGCCATAACGAAAATTCGTATTCAGACCCATTCGGATGCATTAAACCAAAAAACACATCGGATTGGCCAGAAAAGTCACATATTGGTTGCATTGAGATTCGGAAATTCGGATGTGTCTGAATGTTAGAATTTTGGAAGGTTCTTACAAACTTTGATTCGGAACTAAACGAATTGCACATTTCTAATGGGAACCAAAGCAAAAATCCTCCAAAGCTTTGTGTACATGTGTGCTTGATTTACCTATAAGCACTGCCCACCTCAGCTCCACTAGATCATAAAAGAGCAGAAGTGTCCAACACATGCTTTTTTTTTTATATACTTCATTGGCAACACAGGGAACCATTTTAATGATGTGTTAATCAATTGACCTCCAAGGACATATTTTGGAAAGTTTTTATTCAAATTTTAGGCAGTACATTTGGAAACTGGGAATGTGCTCTCTCTTTCACCCTGTTCATCTGTCCTAGCTAAAAAGATATCATTTCAAAAGAGTTGTAAGTGAAAAATGATCACGTTTGATAAGTATGGATATTGTCATCTTCAATTGTAATGACAGACGTAGTGCACACCTTCACTAGCCGGCTCCTATATTCCTCTACTTACAGATTTGCTTTAAATGGGTAGAATGAGCCATGGTTTGTTTGTATCTCTTTTTATTCTTAATACAATAAAATGCTTAGTTGTCTCTGGGGGATCAATACTTTCTGAATCAATGACCCCCAAGTAGCCTAAAGTAATGAAAGACGGAGCCGACTCAAAAATCCTAATCTGTAGTGCCTATGAAATGATGAAAGCCATTGGATCAGCAAGAACAAGGAGGGAGAGAGAGAGAGGAGAGAGAGAACGCTTCTCCCTGCTGACTGGTGCAGCCGGCTCCGCTGCAGCTGTAGGGACTAGGAGGGGGCCTTATCAGTAGCACCCCCATATTTCACCATATTTCATTCACAAAGCCTGATTCCCACGCTCTGCTTCTATACAGAGATTAATGGTGGCGGAGGGGAGGCGCATTATCTGGAGCTTCTGCTGTGGGTGGCATGAGATGTCATCACCAGCATCCCCCCCCCCCTTTTCACCGCACCCTTTATCTGAGCCTGGTGTACCCCCCTTTGCTGCCCATGGTACCCCGTGCTTGCTCTGTGCCTCCCTCTCTCTCTGTTCATCCTCTGTGCTCCCCATACAGATGAGCTGTGCTGGGAGAAGCAAGGAGGGAGGGAGGCAGGGAGAGGAGGAAGGGAGGTGGGAGTGGGGGGTGTAGAGATGGGGGGGAGACACGCAGCTTTGACGTCGCCTGGCTGCGGCTACCAAGCTCCAGCTTCTCTACACGTAGAGCCCAACGTGACCACACACAGCCCTGTCTCTGCTTCCTGCTCCTGCCTGCACACATACACATACACTGACACACACACACAGACACACATACACAGGTCCCGGGGACAGTGACTCCAGGTGCAGAAGAGCCATCTCCCCCCTCACGTTTGGGATCAGCAGATCTCTCTCTCTCTCTCATTTTTGGAGTGCAGCCCTTGGATTCCGCCACAAAAAAATGACAAGAATATTAATATATGCTGCAATCCCTCCCTGCCAGGTTTAAGCTTCATTTGCATTTCCTGCAGCTGGGGCTGGTCCTGTCCTCCTATTCCATCCATTCATATGGGGGGCTCCTGGCCGCGATCTGGACCTGTCTGCTCTCTTATGTCATTGGCTTGGATCGGATGAGTGGTCAGCCTAGATCCTTCTTCCTACAGACACCTTCTGGCTTGCTCGGTTGCCAGGCTGGATCTCGGATTTTTTGCTTTTTCCTCCTCGCTTCTACTTGCATTTGCAATGGCAACTAATGGCATGGGGGGAGGACAATGTAGAGGGTCCTGGATGGACAGCGATCAGTATGCTCTCTTAATTGCTCTCCAGGGAACACTGCAAGTTACTTTTTAAACCCCCCATTAAAGAAGCTGACCAAGGATTCCATTAGCATCTGAACATCCTCACGTTTGATTGACCAAAGGGATATTCCCTCCCGGTCCTAGTACAGAAGACA